GTCCATAGATATTGCAGCTCCTCAACATGCTGCAATTTATGCGGAGCCAACTTTATGTGAGCACAACTTCTAAAAATATGAATGTCTGATTCGGGAGCACTGGAATTGCTCAATAATTACTTACAGTCTGGTCATGTTTTTCATGTTTTCTAAATTTGGGAACTCTGAATCCCCGCTGCTTAAGTCACTAATCCTTCTGCATAAAATTGAAACATAAGTATCTCTCAAAAGTACAAGCATCTTTAACAGGAATTCATCCAAATATGAAAAGAACAAGATTATTTACAATAGGAGTTGAAAATAAATGAAATAAAAATAATAACTCACAGTTCGGTTAAATAACTCAAGTCTGCAATGCTAGGAGGTATAGGCCCTTCGAAACCACTAGCTTGAATCTCTCTATTACAGACCCCCCAACCACCACCGAAAAAAAAATAAATAAATAAACTTTCACGTGAAGGTAATAGGAAGAGTATAGGGTTGGACAAAATAAAGATCCTTACAGTTTTTGAAGTTGTTTCCAGCTTCCAAATATATCTGGTATACTTCCAGAGAAGTTGTTACTGCTAATCCTTCTGCACACCACGTGCCAGAGACTTCTCCATAAATAATAATAATAATAATATAATTTTAAGTCTGACAATTTAGAAGCTTCTGAAACACTAACAGTTCTGTTAATTTGGATAAATTTGTAAAAGACGAGGGCAGTTCTCCAGTGAGATAGTTAGCACTAAGAAGTCTGCAAGAACAAAAGGGAAGATTAAGACCGCGTCGTTTCTTTATCATTTAATCATAGAAAATCAATACTGTGCAACAAGAAAAGAAATTCTGACAGGTTCTCCAAGTTGATCAAATTCCCCAGCTCAGGAGGAATAGCTTCAGAGAAAAAGTTGCTCTCAAGGCCCCTGGAAGCATCAAGTTATTTTGACCATTACAGCATGGAAAAAGGAGTAAAGAGTAAAAAAATGATTCAAAACCATACAAATATCTGAGAGTGGTAAAATTGCCCAGGTAGCGTGGAATAGGTCCTGATAAGTTGTTAACAGAAAGAGACCTGAGGCAAATTCAGACCAACATATGTTATTGTAAGTAATTAGCTGTTGCTTGTTAGCAATGAATACGAAGTGCATGTGTTGCGTACACATATTCCAAGTTAGCAGAAGCCCATTCAGGTGGTATTGGATTACTAATGCAGTTCCGAGAGAGATCACTGTAAAACCAAAAGGAAAAAAAAAAAAAAAAATTCATCTCAGAACAAGCTCATGATGCCCCAATTTCTGGTTTTAAAGGGGAAACTAGTTAAGAACTTCCTTACATTGCTTTCAGGTAAGGCAGCTTTGTGAATGATCGAGGTAGCTTACCAGCAAGATCCTGCCCTCTAAGGTATCTGTTTTAATTACCAACAAGACAAAGCCCCTTACAGCTTCAATTTTGGTACAGTCTTAAATTTTCAAAAGATAATTTGTGGTGACATCGTCTAAAGATGAAACCATAATAAACAATCTAAAAAGAGAACTGAATATGGTGCGCCATTTTGTCAGTAGATGAATCCTAGAGTTCTGAAAAAGGTGAGAATTGATAGTACTTACAAGGCATTGACGTGACATTCACCACTGGGGTAGGAGCAATTGCAGATGACAGAAATGTTGGGGTCGGCTTTAGGCGGCCATGGAGTGGACCAGCTTGATTTACTGTCGCATGAGCTCTTATTGAAGTTCGTCCCATTTTTGCCCAAAACTTGCGCTATTTCCTGAAGAGCTTCAACTGCAAGCAAACAATTAATGGAGAAAATTAAGTTTCAAGCAATGGCAGGAGATTTCTAGTTTCTAGAAATATACTTACTTTCAGAATCTGAAAGAACACCAGTAGATTCAGCTTGAGATTCAACTTTGATTCTCATACAGCTTACAAGCATGAAGAGTATAAGAACTCTAACCATCCTTGCTTGATATCACCGAGCTCCACTCCCAACCCTGTATCAAAAGAAACCAAAGAAGTCTACTCAGAATGAACTTTGTTCGACGTCTCAAAAAAGTAGGACAACAATTATACGTACTAATGTGACATCTATTTATTTTTGGACAGCTCACATGTCTCGTTGACGGCTGAAGCTCGTCAACTCTAGAAGCATCCCATGTGAGCGGATCATCAAAGACGTAGAAAACGAAGATCTAAATATTTGTGGGGCTAAACTACTTGCTTTTTACGCGTTTTACAAGTTGGCACTGCATGTATATTAAAATTGCAGATTAATTTATAAATTTATTAAATTATTTTTAATAAAATAATATAAATAAAAATAATTTTAATATACAATATAGATTTTAATAAAATAATTTTAGTAATAATATTTTAATAAATTTATAAACCAAAATATGCTTTTAATTTAAAATGTAAAGTGTAAACGATAAAAAATAAAAGTAAAATCCTTAAATACACCTATCAAATAAAGGGATAGAAACAAATTCACCCCTAAAAAAAGTATAGAGATAAATTATTATTTTAAATTATAAGTCAAGATAAATTATTTGTCAAGACAAATTATTTATTTTTTAATAGATTTTATTAACTTTTCATTAAAAAAATTGTTACGTGATAAATAAAATTTATTAAAAAATAAATAATTTATTTTAATTTATAATTTATAAAAATAATTTATTTTTATATTTTTTAAAAAATGAATCTATCGGCACCCTCCTATTTTAGGGATGGATTTGAGGGCCTTGACAAAAAAAAAAAAGAACCCCTGATTTTTATAGGTTTAAAAAATACGCTTAAAAAATGTCAATTTACAAATTCACCCATGTCTTTTCTCTTTCCTTTTCTCTCTCCACCATGTCTCAACTGGGTCTTCAATATCGACATAAATGATTGAAAAATCATATAGTAATCATATCATCATGTACTCCAAGTCTCCAACTTTAATTTTTCAGACTTTCTTTTCATAATCCTGTGCCGTACCTCTTCCACGTTGAGGTGTGCTTCTTGTTTAGTCATTAAACAGCCTTATTCACTAACTTTCAAATTATAGACTCAAATTATTAATAATAATTATTCTTTATTTTTATATACTCAATTTATTAACCATTCTCAATTTTAACAAAGTAACTCAATAATTTAAAACTTAAAATTTTAAATTAAAAATTTCAAATTCAAATTTTGAATAAAACAAAAAGAGAATTTAAAGAAATAGAAGAATCATTCTTTTTATATAACTCATTCAAATATATTAAAAAAAATTATTAACAATTTTTCACAAATATAAAATTTTGTGTTACAAAAGAAAAATGTAACTTTTGAACAATTTTAATAATTTAATAATTAAAATTTTGTATAGAGTGGATACCTATTTGATTATGATGAAAAACAAAGAGACTTAAGAGCTTAAAGTTTAAATTTTAAACAAGAATCATGGTAATTAAGAAAAGAAAACCCCAAGTTTTCTGCTAAGGTTTTCTCTTTGTGACCGTCGTTGCTTTCTCTAGGATTCCTCTCCTATTTAGGGGCTGCTATTCCTCGGCCCACCATCCTATCTTGACGATTTCTATTGGCTCTAGCAAGCAAGTTTTGGATCAATGGAGTTTAGGACTAACAGCAGCAAACCACATCATAGATTTCAGGCCACAGTTGACGTCGGCACAAGGCAACAACAAACACAGACTCTAGCCCAGGAAGAAGATGTGCTTGGATCAATTTTGGAGGGAATTAAAATACATTGAGAAAAAGGGAGTATTATCTCACTCACGGACACATGGGAGGAGATCCCCAAGACCACGGACGGACTGTGCTTGGTCGGTAATATTCGTTCCCGAAAGAAAATCAAGGTCATGGGGCTGCAAAATGCGATGATTACCTCCTGGAAAACCCAAAATGGATTGAAAGTAGGTGAAATAAGAGAAAACTTGTTCCTTTTTCAGTTTACTAATCAGTTTGATGTTGATAGGGTCTTGATGAGAGCATCGTGGAACTTCAGCAACTCCTCAATCATATATTAAGGCATTTTGATCGCATCCTATCACTAGATCAATATTGTTTTACTTCAAACTCATGCTGGGTGCATCTCCACAACTTGTCTATTGGTTTACGCAACGAGAGAGTTGGATTCAAGTTAGGGAGGGAACTCGGTAGGGTGTTGGAAGTTGAAGAGGATTATAGCAAAGCCTTGTGCATACAGATTAATATTGAAGTTGAGAAATCTGTTTGTAGGTTCATATTGCTCAAACATCAAAAATTGAGATCTAGAGGCTTCGTATCAAATACGAAAGGCTCCCTAAATTGTGTTGTCTATGGTTGCATAGGGCACATTAAATCCGATTGCGAGTTAGCTTTTCAATTGAAGGTAAAAGGGGAATAATAGAGCGTGGATTTAGGGCTTGGCTTAGGGCAGAATCTAATGAGTTTTGGAGCCCTCCTACAATGCCTAAAAGGAGTCTTCTGTCCAGCAACTTTCCTCCCCTAACTCGTAAGAACAGAATGTCTCCATGGACCTAGTGTTAGCATTGCCAAAGGAGTCTAACCTAAGAGGAGACTAGGTGGATGGGGATAGCTTAGAAGAGCCCAACAGAGGCAAGGAGTCGTCACATGAGGAACACTGTAGTGAAAGCTTTGATTTGGGCACCAATTTAGGTGATATTCCTCTCTGTGATTTACCTAAGGTGGGTAGCATGGAGGCAGTGAAGGAGAAAGCGAAAGGGCTAGCAACGGTAAATGGAAGTGGGTTGGAAAAGGTCTTCTAGTATCTCCTAGCAAAAAAAGGGAAACCACAAGAAAGCCTAAGGTGGGCTCAGTAAAGAACAATGATACATTTACACTACCATGTTACACATCCAATTACACATGATGGTTTCATTATGCACACAGACAGTCTCCATTAGCTAGCCCTTTTCTTCTCTCTCTCCTTTCCTTGTTCCTCAAGTTCGTTTGCTACTTTGAAATTCCTAGTAGGCAGTTATGGCTTGGAACCTAAGATTGAAACTGTGCCGACCTCCATTTTCTACGATTGCCATTTCTCCAAAACTATTGGGAAAAATGGCGCAGCGAAATAAATTAATTCATGTGAATAAAACACGTGAACAATAACAAAGAACGGTGAAACAGGCGGCTTAGCCGACCAATATTAACGGTTAGTGAAAAAAAAAAAGCGAATTAGCCGACCAAGCAAAATAAAATGGGCGGTTCAACCTGTCACTTAATAAAATGGGCGGTTCAACCAACCACTTAAGCGGGAAAATAAACAAGCAAAATAACACCAAATTTTACGTGGAAAAACCCCCAAAAACTATTGAGGGAAAAAACCACGGGACAAACTTCGAAGGGTATTCCACTATATGATAAAATTGTCCAGAGTATACACTCAAGTATTTTTCTCTCTCTTGGTGTTTCCCACTCCCCCAGGATATGATCACAATCCTAATAAACTCACAATTTTATCACTCAATGTACTCTCTATGGAGCACACTCACACCTAAGCTTTTAATGCCTAGCTCTCACCCCTTTTTTTTCTTTCCCCGGAGTCCTCTTTTTGCTCACTTTGGTGCTGCACTTTTTGCTTCTTGCTTTTTCTTTCTTGCTTGCTTATTGCCTTGCCATTGCATGCTATTTATAGGGTAAAAAACCCAACTACCCCGGTGCAAGTTTTCTACCTCATTAAATGAGGTTCATGCACAATGGTTGAAATAACCATTGTAAATTTCCACAATGGCTACTGTAGCTTACAGCCTCTTGCAATAGGTGGTAGAAAAATGGGCTGGAACTAGAAGCTTCTACCAACAAAAACAGCGTTGACCTTCATTTTCTCCAATCTCCATTTTCTCCAATTGCCTTCCCTGACCTCCATTTTCTCCAAAACTACCATACCAAGATTTGCCACCAACCTTATTTTTGCCTTCATTCTGTCCTCACCCATGTCAGAAAAGCTGAGGTTAAGACCTTTTTGGTTTTGTGAGTTTTTTAGTTTTGAGGATTTTCAAATCTGGGTTTTGAGGGGGAGGGCTAATAGTAAAACAAAATAGTAGAAAGGGATGGATTTAAGTAGAATTTGATTGAAGAACAAAAAGAGGAAATCCCCTCCATATTCATTTATCTTGAAATTTCTTGTGATTGCAAGCTAGGATTCTGGCTCTTAATACATCATATTTTCTAGATGAAAGACGTCATTTTGTTATTTCAATTAAGATTTGTGTTCATAATATCTTATTTAGATGAGTAGAACAACCTGGAATCCCATGTTGGAAGGTTGATTTTAATTGGGTCTAAGTGTTTGGTTTAAGGCAAACTCAATAGACTCGATTGTCCCAATAGAGGATGTGTTCTCCAAGGATTTGAATAAGCTGGTGCAATTGCAATTTAGGCCAAAAGAATAGGTTACTCTTGAGCCATTCGACGATGGGAAGAGGAAGATCCTTTCCTAATTTCAAACCCTTTTTTTTTGTTTTGCATTTTTTTTTTTTTTTGGTAAGTTGTTGGAAATGTCTTTTTGATTCTTTGTTAGTTGCTGGAAATATCTAACGGGTGCTCCAAAAAAGATGAATTGTTGGCAGCATCAGGTAATGTCCAGCACTTTTTTGGATTGGATGTTTGCTTCTTACATTAATGGTAGCAAGATTAAGAAAACCAACAGTCTTTAGAGTCAAAGAAGATGGAAAAGTTTAGTGACTGGGTGCGTAACAAAGACTGTCAATGTGCATAAAGGAGACCATAAGTGTCTGATGAGGTGTGTAACATGAAAGTGTAAATATATCATTTTCTCTCAAGAAAAGATGAAGATGAGCATGCGAGACGATAGCAGAAGCACTTCTCCAGACTAAGTTTAGTTGGGCCACCTGTGGATTGGGGACTATAGTTGGCCTAAAACTTTGCTCTCCCCCGAGGTTGGCATGACAATGTTAGGAAGAATGGGGTGGCACCTTAGCATAGTGGAAACAAAAACAACACCAAAATCTTCCTTAATCTGTTTGAAACTATTAGAAGTAAGCTAAATCGAGTCCAAATAAAATAATGGCAATAGCTAAAATATGCAAAACAGTAGAAATGACTAAGGCCAATCAAGAACCATAAGAAACACAATATTTTTACGTGAAAAACCTAAAAATGCGTAAAAACCACAGAACATCCAATCCATTAAAAAATAGATCCACTATAATAAAAGAAAGTACACAATATTCTCTTCTAAAAAGGTACAAAAATAGCAACAAACAAAAGGAATAACAAACCATAAAACCCACAAAAAAAAAAAAGGGACTACAAAGAGAGATATCCACTAAAAATGAGTTACTGTTCTCTTGGCACAAAATCAGAACCTAAAAAGTTCCAAATTAAAAAAATTAACTATTCAAGATATAGATCAATGTCTCTTGAACACCCAAACAAAATTTCAACTTAAAGTAATGGTGAACTTTTGTAGATTAAACAAAGTTACAAAACTGTGTACAATACCAAATAATTCTCTTGTGCTTTCTTGCCCTTTCTCTCGGCTAGCTCCACTCACGTGGACTTCACTTTTTATGGTCCAAATTAGACTTCTTTCTTGATCTTAAAGGGCTGCAGAATATGACTCAAGTGGGCTTAACAAGTGTGGGCTTAGTCCAACAAGTATTTGGCCATTTCTTCACATAAGAGGGATAGGCCTAACCCAATAGACAAAAGGGTGCGTTAGTAGCTAAAGTGCTTAATAGGGGGACCTTACTACATTTGTAGCTCTCTTAATGTCTCCTATAGTGATTGGTTTTACAATCTCTAATTACAATCAGGTCCTCTATACCTTAATTGACTCGCTTGTCAAGGACACAAATTCCTCTTTAATTAGTTCTATAGGGTTCCTTCTCCTTTTAAGCTGCATATAATCTGAATGTATGTTTTGCTCTATGATTTATAATATATCCTTTCCATTCAAAAAAAAAAAAAAAAATTATATCCTTTCCATTCAAAAAAAAAAAAAAAATCCCTAGATTCTAGAATTCACCTAACCTGCATATGCCAATTGTAACCGTCAAAACATGTCGAAATCAAGAAACTTTCTTGTAACCAATTTTCCAAGCTTCATTTTTCCTCCATGCCTATCAGCCAATAAGGTTCAGCTTCTCTCATCACACAAATGTTCCTTTCATTTTGATTTTTCTTGCATCTAATGATTTGCAATCATATACCTATGCATGTCTCTCTTTCTTACTACATACATCAATACACTTACATACGTTGTTTATGTACATACATATCATTTGTATGTCTCAATAAAGAAAAGGCTGAAGCCAGAAATGGAAAATTTTCATATAATTTAGAGGTACAGGATCAATCAAATAATAATTTTAATAATTTAGCACTCTGTATCCTGAATATTACAATCTAATAAGGGAAAGAAGGTGGTGTTGATGAAGTTTAATTTCTTTCATTTTCTTCTACTTCTGGATTGCTAGGTTTTGAATTTGGTAAGGGGGTCTCATGCCTGTATCTCAAGGTTGACAATGGCAAAAGCCACTTCTGTGTTTAATTGCTCTTTATTCCTTCAGCAGAGGAGGCTCCTTAATGTCATCCCATTCTTCCAGCCTACTCTTTGCTTTCTCAACCTAAAATATTAGCCAATTATCACCATAAAAGGAGAGATAAATAAATGATTTGTTTCAATTTCTTTACTGTGTTAATTACTGAATATATACCCACATGAAGATTGTCTAAGAAAAAAATATTTTGGAAATAATTTACCTCCTTTTGCCAATCTGTCCTCACTGTGACCCATATTAAAATTAGAGTTTGTATAATAGTGCCTCCTATCATTCCAGTCCATATACCCTGCAGTCATTAAGCACATAATGCAGATCATGAGAAAGACTGTTGTAGACCTGTAGTGTTTATCATGAATAATAAATTTGCAGACAATGACAAGTTTTTTGTAAAAAGGATATTTAGAGAGGACATATCTTTTACCTTTGCCCCAAAATCAAACTTGAAACCAAGGAGGCAACCCAATGGGATACCAATGATATAGTAACACCCTACGTTGACATATGCAACAAATGCTTGCCATCCACAGCCAACAGCCACCCCTTCCAAGAATCAAAATTTTACTGGTGAGTCAGACTATGGCAAGATTAGATGTTAGACATAAGAAACAGAAGGATGAAATCCTTGGTTACCTGATAAAACGGGTTGAATACCATTGAGAATGACCGATAATGCCAGCAAGGGAGAGAGTTCTGCCACTGCCTCAGCAACGGCAGTGCCACCGGTGAAGGCATAGCTGATGACATTGCGTGTCAAAAGCACGATAATGGCACAGATCACAGAGATGATGAACGAGCTTGAAGTTACTATTAGACAAGAGAATGCTGCTGCTTTGGGATGTCCAGCTCCTAGCTCATTGCTCACTCTCACACTATATGTTATCACATGACAAATGAACAACAATTCCTTAAAACCCTTGTAGGTGATAGAAAAATGTAATGAGAGTATTCTCACTGTATAGGAGCGTATCAGATGACATTTCTAGCGAAATAAAACATTTGGCCTGGCTAAAGGGGTTTTGATGATTGTTTGAGCTGTTCGAAATGAAAATTATGAACCACTTACATTAACATTATGATATTCTTTAAGCAATATTACTAACTTGGTTGGAGCTTAATTGCATTATCCTTACAATAGAGAAGTTTAGAGGAAAACAGACCTTGCAGCTGCATTGAAACCCACTGCGATCATGAACACCCAGCCAGATACCGTCATGCTGTATTCAGTAAGTTTACCATTCTATTAGTGGAGAAATGTTGAAATTTAAATTAAAATTACACAATAACTTTATTTCTTTTGTTTTGAAATTAAAGGTTATCTACATTCATTAATTTTAATCAGGACATAATCTGAAGTAGATATAAATGTCACCAAGGTAATGACATGCTTAAAGCTAATTCCGAAGATTGTTTCTGGGCAGATAACTGGATATTTACAGTAAAAATTAGTCTGAAAGTATAAATCCCTGAACACATTAGCATGGCAATTCTTTTGTCAAAAAGATATTAAAAGTTTTCATCTTATCAATGCAACTTGTGCCAAAAGAAAGTGCTAAGCATCAAATTCCAAAAGGGTACTAGGATTCCACCCTTTCACAGCCTCATTACCTTGTCTCCCAACAGGGAAAAGGGAAACCAATAATGAGAACAATTCTAAGTCCTAACCTTAAAACTGGAATGTGACAAGATATAATTGACTATTTTGCTCCTAAGCAACCACCTAGACCGGCCCCAAAACAATAGAAATCCCAGTTCCATTCAAGCCTAAAATTAATCATATTCAAAGCATACAGTTAGTCAAGAAAGGAACTTGAAATTGAAGGAAATTAGAGGTTTTTCCTTACCAGATGGAGAGGGAGTCCAATGCAATCTCAGCATTTTGGAGTAACCCTGCAATCAAGACTAGTATCTGATAGTACCAACTTTCAAGGCAAAGCATAACAGCTGATGCAGTTGACAATTTTAGAAAGTCCCAGAGCCCTGAAAATGCCTGTATACTGAAGCCAGTCCATGTTCTCCTACACTTTTCACTCAACAAAATGTACACAAATTGTGCCCCCACTATGAGCCACCAAGACAGACTCAATACTAATGATCCACCCAACAACCCCCAACCAAATTTATAAATTGCAAGCCAGCTGAGTAAGAGATGGACCCCAACAACTGCTGCTGATATGAATGCACTTGGTGCTATTATGCCCTGTGCCTGGAGGAACTTCTGTATGGGAAAATTGGCTGCATAGGCAAAAATTTGGGGAATGAGCCCGTAAACAAAGATTGCAGCTGCAGATGCTATGGTTGCTGATTCACCGAGCAATATCAATATGGGTTTGGAAAAGATATATATCAGCATAAGTGGAATCCCAGTTGCTGTGAGGAGAATCATCGACCTTTGCATGTATATCCCCAGCGTTTCATATTTATGCGCCCCATAAGCTTGGCCACACAGCGTCTCCACTGCGCTTCCCATCCCCAACTGCACATAACACAACATTTCAGCACCTTAATATCATGTTTGTGAAACTATCTGAGAGAGATAAAAAAGACAAACCATAAGACCGTATGCAAAAACTTGAATGCCAGTGTTGCCGAGAGAGGCTGCAGCGAGTTGAAGATTCCCGAGATGGCCACAGAAGATCTGAGTGGACATGGAGACAACATTGTTGAGCAAGTAAACAATGATAGCCGGAGCTGCAAGACGGAAGAGGATGTTTAATTCCAGCCAGGTGGCTGACCGGAACCGCTGGAAGTTGGACAAACATGGGTCGGAGAGTACGTCCTCCAGTTCAGAGCTGACTGCCACCGAGGAGGAGTGTTTTGGCAACATGGCTTCATGGACGTCCTCCTGTTCTGCCCTCTGTATGCTGGTTTTGGCCTCCATGGTTCTCCCCTGTATATCTTATCTTTCTTTGGGGGTATGATTTCACGGAGTAATATCTATTTATATATAAGAATACAAAAATAATCGTGGTCATAAAGGGCAGGAACAACGAAAAAGATAAAAATTTCTCCTTTGAAGAAAACTCAAAGAAGTATCCAAAATAACGTTGTCTGCTAAGTGCCAACGTGTATGATCACATCAATCAAACGTATTGCCTTACGTGTCACTTGGCGGCGTCTTCAAGGTTTGAGTTTTAACTCATACTCTGGAGATTGTTGCATGATGAAAAATAGTTTTTTAATTTTTAAATTTCATTAATTATATTGCGGGAAAAACAAAGGCGGCTTAATAAAGTAATGAATAAGAAAATTCAGTTTTGGGTTATTGTATTCAAGTAAAAGACGGCTGATTAATGTAGTATTAATATATAAAGAAATTAAAAAAAATATTATTTAATCTAAACTGTTTCAAATTATAAAATTTTAACTATTAAATTATTATAGATTATGATATTTGAAAGCCTCTCCCTCATTCAATGATTTGTATTTTATAATTTAACATAATTTAAACTATAAGATAGAAAATCTTGAAAAAAAAAAAAATTTAATCAAGATTCTATCAAAGAGTTATATTTTGTTTCCAATTTTAATTGACTATGGTAATCTTTGTTTTCTACCGTCTCAATGAATTCAATACAAGTGGTAAAATATAGTAGTCTAATGCAAATGTTGCGAAGGGTAAACAAAAAATAAATGTGATAAAAGAGACCTCATTTGACCTAATTTGTTACAAGTCACTAATGACAATGGGATGTTAAACAGAGGCAGAGGAAGACTGATTGTGATTCCTGGACCCTTCGGAGTTGGGACGCTGAACACTGCAGTGCAGAACTTCCTCCAATACTCTGGCTCCTGGACATGGATAAATGGTGGTCTCATATCAGTTTAAACCTCAGATCATACTGTAACAACTCGCATCCAGGTCTGGATCAGGATGTTGCTTGTTCATTCCACCATGCCTACAGTTTCAGACATTATTGGTCTTAACGCAGGCAAAGCATTTGTGCATAACAGGGCTACTCTGATCATCCGTTCTGCTTCTGCCTTGTTAAATTCTGTTCCTAGCTTGTCATCCACCAGCTCCAATAGGTTTCCATTTTCTAGTAATTGGCAAGCCTACAGAAGAAAATATGGCAATAAACCCAACAAAGATCAAACTTTTGATTTGCAAAATCATAAATTCAGGAAAGAACTGAATGAGAAAGGGTATAAATTAGTGATTACCCAATCCAAAAGGCAAGCATACTTTTCGCAGGCCCCAATGTCATTTGGTTCTCCTGCTAATTCCAAAAGTGTACACATCTGCCTTGTATGTCAAGTAACCCCACAATGCATTATCTGGAGCTATCAACTAAGCGTTATGCAAGCTTCCTACATCAAACAAGCAAAATAAAAGCTCCAAAACTCGACCGCCCCTAAAAGGAAAAAAAAAATACAATAAAGGCAGAGAGACAATATGATTCAGCAAACTTCTTAATGAAATGAAGGTTTACAATTAAACTTCTTAATTATATAGATTAGTTGAAGTTATAAACTGCAATACATGGAATAAGAAGCAGCTTACAGGTTTTGTTTCGAAGAACTTTGATACAAATTTACATTTGCATTCCTGCTTAAAAAGAAAAGTCAACTACCATCAACAATGCTGCAATAGGGGTAAACACACAACAAATTCCTAATTAATTCAAGAGAAAGTAGAAAAAAAAAAAAAAATTCCCACCTACGAGGAGGTTTGTTGGAGTTGTGGTGTCAAAGCTGCAACACTGTGGCAGCAAATGCAAATGACAAATGAAATACAAATGAGATGAGATGGAAATGCAAATGAGGGCTGCAACTTGATAGCAAACATCAGCAACATGGACAAGAGTGCTGCATATGGGTTGCTATAAAATGACAGCAAATCTTTTGAATGTAATCTTGCTTTAAATGTTTGATAGATCTTCTAGGATTAGGTAAATATTAGGTGGGAAAGACACTATTTTATGTTGTATTGTTTCTGCTATAAATAGCAGAACAACAATGGAAGAAAATTGAGTTTCAACTCAATTAAAGAGGGAACTCCGGGTGTCTCTCCTTCTCATCCAAGTCCTCTCTCTACCCTTGCCAAAAAACCCAACAGGTTGTACAGGACTTTGCCATGTGAAACTGTAGGATAAATCCCTGCACAGAAGAACGGAACAGAACCATCTTCTAACATGCCTACGGACATGATGAGGATACATGCACATGATATATCCACAAATCTATAGAAGTTACAAGAATAAGAACATGGCCAAAAGATACATACACTGCAGTTTCTGTCTTCAAGACTGACTCTGGTATATTTCCACTGAGAGAGTCGTTTGTAAGAAAGCTGATCTCACTCATACACATTATTCAGTATGATAGATTTTGCAAATTGTGTATACTAAGTCCAACCAAGTACGTATTTCATCATACAAAGAAAGGGGGGGTGACTTACATATATTTTGTCTTTGGAGCAGCTATGACATTGGGAAGTTCACCATTTAAACTGTTAAAACTAAGATCACGGTCCAAAATCAACTAGAAAAAATTCAATCGGCTTATTACTTATTAATTGCTAGGAGAGAAGGTATCAGATCACTTAAGTTACAAATTATTGTCTTTTCTTTTCTTTTCCTTTTCAAATTTATATCAGATAATACGTAGTTTCTATCTCAAGCAAATTAAAAATTCTATTATCAATGATTCATGCAACGACATACTTACAGGAAACGCAAGAAACTCATTGGCCAGGTATAGTCAGGTAATCTCTCCGTAAATGTTGCATTGCTTCAGAATTCTAAAAACCAATATTTGTTAGAGGTAATTATCAGAGGTGATTAACACCAATTAAAAATAAGTGGGGGCGGTGGTTGCAGGGAGCAAGAAACACAAACGCAATTCACACTAACACCAAACAATTCAAGGGCAGCCGATTCAAATTACCAGAAACAACCAACAAGTAAGAAACCCATCTGCAGAAACATCATCTCACCTCATGAAAACCGGCACTCTGTCAGTGCTCCTCTTACCCGTCGAGCCCTCAACGTGAGTGGGCACATTCGACACCACAACCCCATCGGAGACAGGAAGTTCCCTGGTGTGATCCTCATCGACCTGAACCAACCTCGACCCAGGTCCTCCCTTGCAGCACAGAAGGCTTATATCAGAAGTGAAATCAAACCCACGACCCAGAGGTTGAATTGAATTGTAGAGAGTTGGGGTTAACGCATCTGAGGGATAAGCACACTTGGATCACATAATTTTAACTGAGCTTTATCGATATTTCGACCCATTTTTGCTAAACCAAAAACAATTAGCGGCCAAATGAAAATTTCCAAGAGTTGGCTTCCCTGAGATTGTTCTTGTTCTTTTCTGAGTTGACTGGTCTTCGTTTAGACTCTTTTGTTCTCTGAACTTGTTTCGATCACACGCTTTTTTACTTATTAGATACAATTTTTTTTTCTCTCCTTATTCTTACCTATGGCAAAAGATTAGCATTGTGAATTTGGAATTAGATTCTTCAAATTATTATCTTTTCGGACCCTAATTTTGACAAAATGAAAGAGATAATAACAAATTTTTCAAAAGGCAATGGGTTTTAATGAAACGTGAAACAATTGCAAATACCACCTACAAGGAGTCTGGCTTTGTTATGCATTGGCCAACCAGCTAGCTCATCAAGTTGGACCATTTTAAACTTGCTGATTCCTTCAAAGAGTAAAAATGAAGATTTGTTTTCTTTTTCCTACAAATTCTTCATAGGCAAAAAGGTCAAATTAGTGACAAAGGCAACAAGAAACATGAAGATTGACTGTTATAAATGGCACTGCCTTTAAAGTTGCAAAATGCTTAGGGTCAATATCTCAAAACAAATATTGGGATTCTCTGAAGTGTCAAAAACTGAACTATTAGGTTGCATTTAGGTTGGGGAGTCCATCTGGTTGAATCTCATATCTCTTTTTTTTTTTTTTTTTTTTTTGGTGTCATATTAATGTTGAGTTTCTGCTAAAATATTTGATATTTTATAATTTGAACTATAAAATATTAACTTTTAAATGAACTGTTTTTTTATTAAAGACTTTTTTAATTTAATAATTAATGATTTACAATTTATTATGATTTTGACTGTAAACATTTTTTATTCACTAAAATACCGCTTAAATCAAAACTATTTTTCCATATTTTCTGCTATTGGCAAATAATAATCATAATGGTATTTTAGGAATAAAATAATAATTAAAATTAAAATTTTACATTTATTTTAAAATATAAAATAGTGGTGAAATTCACCTTCTTGAGTTATACCAAACCCCTGTGGAAATCCACCTTTGGCTTTTCATTCCGTATATTCCATATCTAAAGCAGTTTCCCGAGGAGGTTACCAATCTATCAATATGATTCCCGACGGTCATCGGTGAGTGTCCATCCCCTGTTTGTACAACTGCTCAGGGTTTCCATTTTTTCGGTTTCATTGTGATCTCTACAAATCTCTCTTTTTTTTTTTAATAAAGGAAAAGTGTGGAATCTCCAAATAACTAGAAAAAGAAATGTCTGCATCTCAAAATTATGTCAATGGAGTAAATTTTTATTAAAAAATTAAATTAACCTAGAATATGTTTGTTTTGGCTATTAGAAATAATGCTTTAATTAAATGGCATATTTTTATTTTATTTTTTAAATATTTTTTAATATTTACTCTCAATATACAAGTTAAGTGTAAAATAAATATTTTTTGTTATAAATTTATATTAAAAAAGTAAAAATTAACTTTTAATTTATTAATTATTTAATTAAATTTATATATTTGATACTATTACTAGAATTAATATTATCTTTTATATTTTTTATATATTTATGATAGAAAAACATCCTTAAGTTCTGCTCAATTGACTGACAAACACTATTCTTTTTATTTTAAGATAAACATTGAATTTGTCTAAAATTGATTATTATTATTTTTAATAAATAAATATTTTTTTATTTTAACCCTGTTAGTATTTATATAATTTGCTTAATTATCTTATACTACTTTATTATATATATAAATACATAAATTATTCAAAAATAATTAATTTTAAAAATAATCAATAATTATTTTAAGACAAAAAGAGAAATAATTTTTTATAGTCTTTTATCAACAACATGGTACCGTTACAAAGGCATCTTATCCCGTCTTGGATTTAAACAAATGCACCATGTAGCTATATTAAGCAACTCCAAGCAGCCAACGAACTCAATGGCATTAAAGGATGTGGTAAGGAATGTGATAAAGTTATCTTTTATTATACTATTTAATCAAAAATAAAAAGAGGAACCCCGAGCAAATTCATACTACTTGGTTATAATTCTCTACATCACTTAAGCCCAAACAAGTTAGGTTTGCAGGGCAGTTTCTGTTGACACATTCTGTCTGAAGAAAATACCTTTTTCAGATCTTGATAATTGGATAAGCTTAGCTTTAATATTGTTTGATACTCAACTCTTTACTGTTTAGGCCAGTTGCATGTCTACATTTTTATCGGTCCAATCGTCAGAATGCTAGCCACATCTCAGCTTGTCAAATTTAATTTATGTATCAGAAGAGGCATCATACAATTTTGATTTCTTGTAGTTTTCGGAGTGCAGAGAAGTTACAAGAGGATCAAGCAAAGTTGGTTTTAGATTCCTTACTGCATTTGCAGCCATATTTAGGATTGTACATTCTTAATATTTAGGTACCAATACCTCCTTTGGTCCTTCACAATAACATGTAATATTGGTTTGTAATTCCTTATATCAATTACTTATCTTTTAGCATTTTTGCAAATAAAATACCATCTCTGATATTCACACTACTAAGATCCTGATGAGGTGCTGCATGTTGCATTTGCATCTGATGAATGAATTAAGGAGCAACTTTCCCCTGAGTTATGTGGGTGGATTTGCCCGAATTGGTTTCTAAGGGTTGCAAGCCTTGATTCATCTCCAAAAATGCTGGGATCCATGATCAGCTCTGGCACAAGGGTTCTGCCTTCAAGCATGCTCACTACAGATGACATGATAGGCCTAAGCGCTGGTGATGGATTTGTACACAGCAGAGCTACTCTGATCATTCTAAATACCTCTTCCTTGTTAAACTCAGCTCCCAACCTTGGATCAACCAGATCCATTAAATCCCCTTTTTGTTGTAAAACAAGAGCCTAAATAAACATACAAGTCAGTATAGACATGTAGAATACAAGAATAATGCTAGTTGTCTATGACTAAACAAGGAATCTTACCCAATCCTGAAGACAAACAAAATTTTCATTCGGGCGATATTTTGTGTTGCTCTTTCCTGCAACAATTTCTAATGCAACAACCCCGAAACTGTAAACATCTGCCTTGTAGGTTAGATAACCCCATAGTGCATATTCTGGTGCCATATATCCTCTGCATAATGGAAACTCTAAGATCAATTTGGTTTACTTAACTAGCTGAAGTTTTTACAAGAAATAAAAATTATAGC